CAGGAACATCAGACCAGTGATCCCTCCAGATTTAAACAGTCTCATCTTTTTGCCGATCTGCCTTATGCAAATATTGTCAGAATATGGGTGCCATTAAGTGAAAAAAATTGGAAGCATTGTGCTAAGAAAATTCCTTTTATTTGGCATAGAGTCAAACTTAAATTGACATAAAATTACATAACAAAAATTGTAGAATGCAAAATAAAACAAAGATTAAGTTTTTTGCTCATAAGCTTTATTTTTTAGCTTTATTGGCATGTAATTCACATATAACATTGTATGAATTTAAGGTGTACAGTGTGATGGTTTGATGTACAAATCTATGGAGAAATGATGTTCTTTATAAATAAAAAACTTCAGATTTTTTAAAAAACATTTCTCTGTGGTGTAAATGTTACTATTTAAAATTTGAAAGTAAAAACAGGTGGTGAGTGCTTGCAGCCCATGTACTAACATTGGAACAATACAGAGAAGATTAGCATGGCGCCTGCGCAAGGATGACACGCAAATTCGCAAAGCGTTCCATACTTTTGTACCAGCATGGAAACAGGCATGTGGATCAATGGAACAGAACAGAGAGCCCAGAAATAAACCCAAGTCTCTATGGTCAATTAATATTCGACAAATGGGGCAGCAACATAAAATGGAGTAAAGATAGCCTCTTCAACAAATGGTGTTGGGAGAACTGGACAGCTACATGCAAAAAAATGAAACTTGAGCACCAACTTACAACATACACCAAAATAAATTCAAGGTGGATAAAAGACTTAAATATAAGCCATGACACCATTAAAATCCTAGAGGAGAACATTGGCAGGAAAATCTCAGATATTTCACACAGCAACATTGTTACTGATATGTCCCCTAGAGTAAGGGACATAAAGGAAAGAATAAACAAATGGGATCTCATCAAAATAAAAAGCTTCTGCATGGCTAAAGAAAACAGTATTAAAATAAAAAGAGAACCAACCATACGGAAAAATGTGTTTTCCAATGATACCTCAGACAGGGTTTAATCTTCAAAATATATAAAGAACTTAAAGGACTCCACTCTAAGAAGGCAAGCAACCCAATTAAAAAGTGAGCAAAGGACTTGAACAGACACTTCTCCGAGGAGAAATACAAAGGATCCAGAGACACATGAAAAGATACTCAATATTGCTAGCTATCAGAGAAATACAAATTAGAACCACAATGAGATATCACTTTACACCAGTCAGAATGGCCATCATAATAAACAAAGCAACAAACAAGTGTTGGAGAGGATGTGGAGAAAAGGGAACCCTAGTGCAATGTTGGTGGGAATGCAGACTGGTACAACCACTGTGGAAAACAGTTTGGAATTCTCTCAGAAAACTAAAAATGGAGCTGCCTTTTGACCCACCAATTCCACTGTTAGGATTATATCCTAAGAACACTGAAACACCAATTCAAAAGAACCTATGCACCCCAATGTTCATAGCAGCACAATTTACAATAGCCAAGTGCTGGAAGCAACCCAGGTGCCCATCAGTAAATGAATGGATCCAAAAACTGTGGTACATATACACAGTGGAATTCTATGCAGCAGAAAGAAAGAAAGAGCTCCTATCCTTTGCAACAGCATAGATGGAAGTGGAAAGCATTATACTAAGTGAAATAAGCCAGTTGGTGAAAGACAAATACCATATGATCTCACCTTTAACAGGAACTTAAACAACAAAACAAACACACAAGCAAAATATAACCAAAGACACTGAAATAGAGAACAGACTGACAGGGACCAGAGGGGAGAGAGAGGGAATTTCAGGGAAAAAGGGGTAGAGTTTACAGGAAAAAATATAAAGGACACTTGGACCAAAACTAAGAGAGATGGAAATGGGAGGGAGGTGGGGAGCACTGCGGGGGGGGGGCTGGGATGGGCATAAAAGACAGAAAACTGTACTTGAACAATAATTAAAATAAAATTTAAAATAAGAAAAAAATAGGTGGTGTTTAGGTTATTTGTCACTTGTGTGACAAGATGAAATCCGTGGGGACATAACTACCAGGATATGGACTCTTACGGAATGACTGGAAGATATGGGGAAAAAGCTATATTGACAGAATCAGCAAAAGTATAATAATAATCTTATAAGAGTATGTGACACTTATTGCAAAATGTACAATATTATTATATATATTGATGCTATATATTATACACATATAAACAATTGTAGTGTATATAAGCAGATCCATTAGTGAAATCTGAATTTGATTTGGCTATTAGTTGAGATAAAAACTCACTGACCTGGAAAATGGAAGCCACTGAATGAAAAAGCAGATTGTAAAATAGCATTTATTACATGGTTTCATTTCAGTAAAAGAAAAAAATATAATGAGCAAGCTGTTGATTTTGCTGATCTCTGGGTTGTGAGAATGTAAAGTTTTGATTTGTATAAATGTGTGTGTATTACTTCTGTAATAATAAATCATAACCCCTAAGGTTATGTCATAACAATTTAGTCCAGCATTTCATGTCCTGAGTTACCTTGTTCAGGGGTAGCATCCTGAATATTTGAAAAATGTAGAAATTCTGGTCTTCCTTATGGCCCACTGTTCTCCCAGTTTTCCATTCTTAGTACCATGTTTTGCTGTGTGTAATGCCCATCGACATTTTGGGCCCGAGCTCTCAAGGAAACAATCTTTCTTTTTAATTGTTTAATTCAATTATTTATTCATTTATATTTAGATACTTGTTTATTGTGTGTTATAAAGGAATTTTTAGCATTTGTTTTTGAATATATTATGGTACATGAAATTTTATGTAACAAATAATTACAAAACACAAGAACAGATACAAGGTATTTTGGGTACTACACATGTATAATGTACATCCTTATTTTTCGATGACTGAGTGGTATTCCATTTTGTAAATGTATCATAGCTCTTTTATCCACTCATCTACTAATAAAATGATTAAGTGGCAGAGTCAGGTCTTGAATCCAAGTGTTTCATCTTTAAATGTGGCCTTTTCTCTTGCTCTGCTCTGTCTCAGGCCTGTATTCTGAGAGTGAGTTCGTGCGGTTAGCCCCCAGCTGGGATGGTAGTCTCAGATACTGACCTGTCTGTGCTCTGACTGCCTCACACATCTCACATTGCCAGCTCGGAAGATGAAAATATTGCCTGTAGAAACCAACATCTGGTTGCTGGGTGGAGTCCCTCTTGCCCAGATCCCCTTACTCTGCAATTTGAAGCTTGTGGAACCTGTTTAAGGAGAACCTGAGAACTTGTCTGGGTGGTAAATTCATTATTAGTTGAAAAGAAAGCAATCAGCAAAAGTTCAAGTACTGTTCCCCATGACACCTGCCAGTTGCCAGTATCAAAGCGCTGAAGAGAGATTGTTTCCATGAGAGGTGGGCTTCTTGGGCAGAAGGAGTTAAGTAGGAAGAACGTGGCTCTGTTACCCACCAGTGGGGTGACTCTGGGGACATTCTTAACTTCCTTGAAACTTACCTTGTTTATTTCTCATCCATGGCTAATATTACCTTCCTCATAGAATTACAAGGATTAAAGCGGAATATGGAAAAATATATATTTAGGGTGAGTGGGACACAAAAAGAAATCATTCACACAAATGGTATATTTTCATGAGCTCCAACCAAGTGGACAATTAATTATTTGTGGGGTGGGGTGTCACCATGCTTTCCGTGGGGGGGTGGGGTGGGGGGGTAGGACAGGTTGCTTTTCTGGCAGCCAAGCCATGTGGCAGTCTCCTGGGCTGAAAAAAGGAAACACTGATTAGTCAAAGGACACTGATGTCCTAAGCATGTATGTTCGTCTTGCCTCCATAACCAGACTGCTGCCCAGTCAGAATGGCCAGAGGAAGGAGCCCCTCAGCTCTGAACTTCTCCTGAGGACACCAGTTGCAGGGAAGCCACCAGAGGGCCACCCTCTGGTTGTAGAGGGGGGAAATGGAGATGTATTTTTAGGGGCTCAGCAAACTCTTTTGGCCAATGGTTAGCTGGAGTATGTATTCTAGAATCCTAAAGGGCCACCCAAAGGTGCACTATTTGGCCATATGTGACTGGTTTCATTGTTACACAATGGTACATTGACCTGTAAGACCTTAAACTGACATTTTGTCTTTAAATGCATGCCATGTTTTCAGATTTTACACCTTTACCTGAGGCTAGTTCCTCCATTTGGAGTGCCTCTTTTCTACAGACATACCACCCTGAACACACCCGCCTTGTCTGGAGTGCCTCTCTCCTACCCTCCTTCAGCAATGATTGAAATTCTAACAATCCTTTTCAAGTTCACCTCAGGTAGCAATTCTCCTGAAAAATTTTTCCTCATCATCTCAGTAGTCTATCTTCATCATTTTAATCTAATAGCATTTCCCCCCAGAAAACATATGACACAATGTTTTCTGCTCTGAATTATACTTATTTTTCAATTTATCATCTTTCCTGTCAGACCCTTGAGGGTGGGAAATTTATCTCCTCCAGTCCTATCTTACCTGGGGCCTTAGACAGAGGGAGCAATTCGAATTGAATTGAAACAAAAACACCTTGAGACTTTAAGCCGGGGATGCATCAGCTAAGGATTTTTATGGTGAGTTTCTTGGTTTTGGGACCTGACACCTGACACAGATGTCATTTCACTGTGTCCTGTAGCAACTGCATGAGGTAATGCTGTGGCAAGAAAACTGGGACTCAATGGCCAGAGAGGTGGCATTCCAAAGCCAGGAATTAAATTGAGTTAAATGCCATTTTAAGAGTCTGCCATGGGACTGGGAATGGTGGCCAGGTCACTTGACTTTTAAAGATCCCCTCAAGGCTCAGTCTTGCTACCACTCAACAGATGTCAACACTGTTCATGGAAAATGGGACACAGTGGTTCGGTTAAGTAATCATTACTGGAGAATATTTCTTTTATAAAACTAATTTTTCTTGTAAAATACTCTATTAGACTGGGAAATTAGCACTGCTCACCTGAGGCAATTGTGAAAACACCTTTTGGTCCAGAGCAGGAGCTTGGAGTCTTGATTAGTTTATCCCTTCCAGCCCAGACTCTCAGTTTGTCTCCTTTGAAGGTAAGGTTGTGAAACTCAGTCTTAAGCAACTCTTGAACTTCTGAAGACAGATTATAAGGAAGAAGAAAAAGCACTGTTCAAGAAACCTAGCCTTACAGGTTAACTTCAATGTAATGCAAATGATGAGGCTGGTGAACAGTTCCAAATGATCAAAGTCAGAGAGCTGTACCTGGGAGTTGTTTATACTTCCTTACCCTGTTTTCCCCGTGGACTGATTTAATTTTTAGAGTGTCCAAGAAAAGGACATAGTTAATAAACTTGTTGAGTTAGAAACAAGGATAGTAAAGACTTATTAATTTTTCTCTTCCCCTTCTTCCCTTCCTTCCTTCCCTCTTTCCTCTAGTAAAGTTGCTCATTTATTTATTCATTCACTCAGCAAATATTGTCCAAGTTTCAGATATATGCAGATAATGTCCTAGGTGTTGGGTAAACAGCATTGGAAGAAAGAATCTTGACTGGATCCTAAACTAATGGAACATAAAGTCTGTGGGAGACAGAAAAGAGGAACAGTTAGAAAAGTAAGCAAAAAATACTAATTGCAAATTGTGCAAATACTAAAAAGAAGTGTTTGTAAAGAGTGTATGAGGTCAGGGCTTTATAATTAAAAATAGGAGATTGGTTGAAACTTGTCTGAGAAGGAAACATTTAAAGGAGACTTAAAAGGATGAGAAGTAGCTGGCCAGGGGAATACCCTGAGGCAGGGAAGCACCCTGTGAGCTCAGGAAGTGTCTTTGTGGCTGGAGCAGAGTGAATAGAGTGAGTGACTCAGTTTGGGGAGGCAACAGGGTGTAGACCACGTGGCCAATTTTCTTTCTTTCTTAGCGCCTCAGTACCCTCAACTGCAAAATGAGTTGCTGTGACCAATGCTGACGTTAGTGATCATTTGGCATTAAATGTGAATACTTTCTTACTACAGACTCCATATCAAAATGTTCTTGTTCTTGTCTGAGTGCCGAAGATGGCATCCATACTTAGGTTAGGTGGGGAGCTGAAATGCCTACAGCAAGCTTATCATCCATGACATTATTTTGAACCAGATAATTTTTTTTTGTTGTGGAGGTTGGGGAGCAGCTGTCCTCTGCATTGTAGGACATTTAGCAGTATTATTGGCCTCTACTACCCATCACATGTCAGTGGCACCTCTAACGCAGTTGAAGGTGACCAGAAATGTCTCCTGCCATTTCCAGATGTCTCCCTGGAGGCTAAATCACCCTTGGTTACAAAACACTTGCCTGTATATAGGATGACACAGTAACTCCAATGAGCAGGCCCAGTATGAGGTAAGAAATGGAATCTGACATATAGCCTAAGTGTTGGGGAAAAACGCATGGCACAGGGCATGGGAAAAGGGAGAAGAACCCTTGCTCATTTCTTACTTGCTCTGGCCTATTACTTCTTTCTTTACTAAGGCTTCAGTGCTCACAATCAGATTGTCCATACCTTGGGTTCATGACATACTGTCAGTATTTATCCATGATGTGTTGCATTTATTTAGTTCATTAATTAGACCTCTATCACAATGTGACGATCCAACAACCCCAAAGAAAAGCTAGGACCTTCACAACACCCTACACTTGACAATGTAGCCCCTCACCTCCCTCCTGCCTTGCCCTAGTACAGGTAAGCATCATCTTGCCACATGCGTTTATTATTCCCTTGCTTTTCTTTCTATAGAGTTTTCTTTTGCCTAAGTGTATCCTAAAAATATATTCTAAGTTTTAGTTGTTTTTAACCTTATGAAAAGGTTGTCCTGCTGATGTAATTCTTCTCACGGACTTGTTTGGCTTGCTATTTATTATGTTACTAACAGTCATCCATACTGTCAGGTGTTGCTGGGGCTGATTTGTGTGCAATGCTGTTTAAGATCACACTGTGTGAACACACCTCAAGCTCCCTTTCACTGGATGGTGTTGGGTTAGTTCCTGGGTGATTTTGCACATCTCTTGGTGCTCTTGAGGTGATTCTCACAGTGCAGGAATGTGCATGCGGTGTTGTCAGAATTTCTGATTTATTTTAAATGAAAGGTAGAAGTCAGAATTTTTATATGAAAATAATTGAGGACCAATTTAAAGTTTTAGGAACTACTTAGCAGGTCATCAGTAAAACTGTGCAGGTCATAAATTTTAAGCCTCTAATTTAAGATTTATGAATTACATCATTCAGGTTAAAAATCCCCCATCTTCTGGATTTAGAAGTCAAGTTAATTTACAGGACATTTACAAAATTGTTCTTCAGCAAGAAAGTGTGTGAAACAAAAAACTACTGAGGCAGAAATTTGACTGGGGCTTGGAGTTGGGATAAACAATGAGGTGAGTTAGCATGATTTGTTGCAGTGCATGGAAATTATTAGTAAAACTTTTTCCTCACATCCAAAATGAGGGTACAGATATTATCTTCAGGGAGGTAAACTTTAAAAAATAAATTATTCAAACTTTCAAATATTTAAGGAAGCCAGTAGAGACATGCAAAATTGTCTTAAAGAGACTAAATGACTCCCAGACCACCAACAAGATTTGTGTTTATAATTTGATGGAATGAATTAATATGTTTAAAGAAGGCATGTTACTCAGGGTAGAAGATGGTCTGATATGACTCCAGAACCCATTTAATCTTTAAAAAAAAGATCTTGTTTATTTTTTAGAGAGAGGGAAAGGGAGGGAGGAAAAAGGGATAGAAACATCAATTGGCTGCCTCCCTCATGCCCCCAACCTAGGACCCAGCCTATAACCCAGGCATATGCTCTGACTGGGAATCAAACCTGCAATAGTTTGGTTCATGGGCTGGTGCTCAACCCACTGAGCCACACCAGCCAGGGTTCCAGAATCCATTGTAAGCACTATGCTTCCTTAAAGCTCTATGGCAGAACAGTAACGACTATGGCAATGTTGCCATTAGAGAGAAAACAAACTCTTAATCCCTATCCATAGATTTATCTGGTTGTTGGGTAGTTATACACAGGCATCTCACTTTCTCATTACACTCCATCTCTGAGACCTGGTTAACTTGAGTCTTCCCTGCCCAGCAGCCATGAGAGGAGAAGGCTGAGAGCCACTCTCAGGACTTGTTGAGCCCCAGGTGATGACATCACTCTTTAAGGATCCTTGGAATCAGCACGGGCCTGCTCTTATTGTCACCCTCACCTGTACCTGCATTTCCATGAGCCTCTGCCTTCATACTTCTACATTCACTACGTGTTTGGTTAGTGGCAGGCCCTAAGTTAAGTACAGAATCTAAACCCTGAAGGGTCTGCCTTGGTTCAGCCTTAGGAGCCCTCTGGGAAGGGTTTTTTCTAGACTCCAGGAACCTCCTGGATCTCTGTGGAGTTTATGTGTCCTCGTCTCTGTGTATTTCTCTGGGGAGAAAGTCTATAGATTTTTCAGGGGTTCTGCTGGATTTGGAAAGTGTTTGGTAACAAACTTTAAACCACTGTGTTGGGCAGCACAATTTGACTTACTGATTATAGGGCCTCTGTAAGGAGAAGGCCTGTACACCTGGAAGCTAAAGTTTAAGCCCTTCAAGGAGACAAAAGATCTAGATGCCCAGGGACAGAGGGAGGAGGAGGGTCTGTGGGTGGGAAGGGGATAAAGAAAGGGGCACTGTGCTGTTTCATAAAGTGTGTAGACTGCCACGAATGTGATGTTCTCTTAACATTTTTCCAATGTTCTATTTTTGGCTGAGTGATTCCTTTTTTGTGGGAGGTAAGGGTGGGTGGAGTGCAGAGTAGCTGGGATAGTTTCCTCAAGCATTTTCAGGGACATGGAAGGCACTCCATAAGGTAGGATGTAAATTGCTACAGGGTTATACAAAAATAGCACCATGCTCATTTGTGCAGTTTTAAACCCAGTACCTATTAATGGTCTTTGCAACTCACTTTAAGTTAGTACAGTTCAATTTATTTCAACAAACAGTAATTGAAAATTCCTTATCCACATTATTGCAGCTTCTCTACTGAAAATTTGGCAGTGGATTATGGGTCGTGAGCTACTAACGGGGGTTGTGGAGCCCACTCGACTGAGAGCAGGCAGGCTTTTAAACTAATGCTCTGGTATAACCAGGGGAGTATTCAACTGGCTTGCCTGAAGCACTTCTGATCTACCCCTGGTGTTCCTGTGTTATTAATAGGACCTCATGTAGACGACAATTTTTATAGTCACCTCTCTATACAATGCTTTTATTTCTCTAACCTTATCTAATCTTATCTATTTATGTGTCTCTCTTCCCATTAAACCACGGAGCTTCTTGAGGCTAGAGATGGGTCTCCTTCATCTCTGGGTCTAACATGTGCCCACTATGTGAGGGACACTTAAAAACATTTGTGACATTGAACTGAAATTCTAGATAGAATGAAAAAGCCATAGAGTAGAAATGGCCAGCTCACATTATCTTCCATGTGCTGCAAAAATCTAGACTGGAAGCTCAGTTTTGAGTTAAAGATGAGCTAGCTGTATGCCTCAGGAAACTTATTTAATCTCTTTTTAAAAAACAAAATGTGCCCTCGACTCCCCAGACCCATCCTGCGTTTCTCTCCCTCTCTCCTTCCCTTCCCCTCTAAAGATAAATAAATAAAATCTTAAAAAAAAAACAAAACCAAAATGTGTACAGTGATTTCAAGTGCTCGATTAATGTTAGCTGCTATCATTGTCACCAAATAGTTCCTAATAATAATCATTGCATATAATAACTTTACACTTCAGTTTCTCTTAGCTGAAAAATGAGGATAATAAATCCTGCTTGCTTAAATTTGTCAATGAATGTGAAGACACTTTGGAAACTGCAGAGGGTTCTCATTGCATAGTCTGGAAAAGAATGCATGGTAGAACACAGGGAGGTTTGTTCTACAGAACTGGCGTGACTCAGGCAGATTAGATGGAACTCAATGGCAATATAGGGAAGCTATTAAATACAATATTTTAAAAAGATGATAAAATGGCTCAGCTGGATAGAAGTCGGTCTTTTTAAAAATGTCATAACATTAAGTGTACAAGGGAAAAGATAACAGATGATCCCAGGACAGGTATGGGATTTAGGAGGGGGACCCTGCATAAGTGGGATCTCAAGGCATTGCTTCAGGTACAATGAGGGAATGGAGCCATTCCAGTCTTGACATCTGGGGAGCAACATTGAGCTTGGGACGGAAGAGTTTTTATGGCAGGAAAGACATTTCATTTTGCAGACTCAGTCAAGAGCTTGTATTTGTGAACTATTGTGAACATTTATTCAAGGCATACCGCATGTGGACAATACCCATGAAAGCCATTCAGCACCTGCATGTGCGGCTAACGAGAGGGAAGAGCCTAATAATTACCATGCAAGCAGCTTCGGCCAGGGATCACGGAACCTTTTCTAATAATGTAATCTTTATCAAGGGACATCGAGAAGCTGGTGGATTTAAAGTTGCATATTCTGGCTCCCTATTATCCTAGCGGGTGATTCTAACAAAAGCAGAACTATTGACACTTAGATCTCTTAGATCTAAGTACGAATAAACAAAGAGGTAGAATTTCAGACCTAGGTTTGGGGAGATTGTAAAATAGAGGTAAACAGGAGCAACTGCAGCAGAGTAAATGCTTACATAGCATTTACACCTATTAACTAATTTAAGCTTGATAACAATCCTGTGAGGTGGTACTAGCACCACCCCCTTTTTTATGGATGACAATCTGAGGAATAAAGAGGTTAAATAACTTCCTCAACATTTGATCCAGCAAGCATTGGAGCTAGGCTTTTAATCCAAAGTGTCTTGATCCAGAGAGTGTGCTTTTCACCAGGACTCTCTACTTCCTGATTTGAGCCGTTCTGACCAGTATAGAGTGTACTACGGCTTTGTGTGATGTAGCTGTGAAATTGAGGCCATGTAAAATTCAGGGGCGGTTTCCTATTCTGTCTCAGGCTTGACTTGGAAGCAAGAAGTTTGTCCAAATTATACATTTTTTAGCAGTAGACTCTTATCTTGTTCATATCTGTGTCCTCCAGGGCTTCGTATCCCCTAACAGCACATAGCAGGTGCTCAATAGGCATCAGTTGAAATAAATCAAGTAGTCTCTATGACTTTTACCTTTGCTGTAAAATTCTTTTTGTTATTGAACAAGAGAGGAGGATGTGAATTCATAGCTCTACCCAAGGCCCCCAAAGGAAGGTTGGAATTTGGTTGTTCATCCTCCTGCAGTTAACTTTAACCGAATCCTAACTCCAAACTCAAGGCCTGGCTCAAAGTCCCTCTCTGTAAGAGGCTGTTGGTCCTAGCCAAGGGAATCACTTATTGCTGGGGTCACTTAATGCTCCTGGCACATGTCTCATGGTCATGTCTGTGAAGGCTGTGGATCATGCTTAAGACTTGGAGGCCGACAAACCTGAGTTTGAATACTGGTACCCAAACTTATCTGTGTGGCCTTGAAGGAGTCATTCCATTAAGCCTTTGTGAGCTTAGCATCATCATTTATGAAATGGGGGTGATGTCCTATGCAGGGGTGATTGTGAGATTCCAACAAGACAACAGAGTACCTAGCATAGTGCTTGGCATGAGGTAGCCGGGTGCTCAAACTGTAGAAACTGAATGTCCCAGTTAGATTGCAACTTCTTGGAGGCTGGGGATCATGTCTTAAGACTGTCAGGGATTCTTTTTCACTCTCTCACCTCATTCTGTCCTCCCCTCATCCTGCTTAACTTCTACTCCTTGTTCTCAGTTTCATCGCCAAAATCCCAATTTGTTGTTGCTTATTGTGCTTACCCAGTAATTGGAGTCATTTTGGTTCTGCCCCAGGAGGTATTTGGATACCAGACCCACAGCTGCCGGAAAACCCTCTGCCTTGCTGGATCCATCCTCTCATTTGGGATCCTTCCCTTGGTGTTTTACTGGAGACCCGCTTGGCACGTGTGGGCAAACTGTGTTCCATGTTCCTTGCAAGAAGCAGACGTCGTGTTGCTGAGGACAACAGTAAGTGTGTACTTGGTTTTGTACCTACTGGCTCTTTCTTTCAGAGCTCGTGTTATGGGATGGTTGTGGAGAGACGTACGCAAAGCGGGAGGCAGAATCCAGCCCCAGATTCCATCACAGCCTTGCCTTTGCTTATTTACTAAGAACTCAGTAATTCATGTACTACGGGATGCCACACAGTATTTCTTTTAAACTTGTGAGTTGTATGAATATTAGAGCAGAGAATAACCATGTTAATAACTAAAAGTAATAGGTAGTAGGGAGTAGTTAAGTCAGGCTATAGGCTACAGAATTTATTTTGATTCTTCCTCCTGTATGCCGACATATTAATGCCCACTCCAGCCCCTACTCCACTGGAGGAACTCTGGAGGGAAGGAGGAGAGGAGTAGGTACGAGATGGGGAGCACTCCTCTGAGGAGGATGTTATCCTCCCCTGCTTATTTGAGAGAGCCACAGTTATTGATAGGAGTATGTTGCATCCTGCAGGTACACTAGTATAAGCGATGCAGTCATCTGATCCTCGAGGTCATGGCCTTTCTTTGCCAACACAAGGTTCTAGCATTAAGTGAGTTTGCATCCATAATACTTCCTAGCACTCACTACACGTAGGCAATATGCACAGTTTCTGCTGGATTGTCGGCTCCACAAGAAAGGGATATTTTCTAACTCCACTTTGGAGGGATTCCATAAAGAGTTGGTGGCTGAAGGCTGAAGTGGTGGCTGAAGACTGAAGTGGACATTTATATTGATGGGCATCAAAGGATTGTCTCAGGAAGGATGCTACCTGGGTGTTTTTAATAATGCATCAGCCCAAATGGCTCAGAATGATAACCAGATTCTTGATAAATCAACCTCTGCTGAGCTGTTAGCTTCTTTTTGTATCAACTTTTGTATCAACTTTTCTTTGATAGTCTTTCTTTTTGTATCAACTTTTCTAGTGAACATTCTATTTAATGCAACAAGAGGAGAAGATAGCAACAGATCTTATAACTGGCCAAAAAAACCTTCATATTTCAATCTAACAGAGTTGAGGCTACACCTCAATGAAATTGGCAGTTGGATCAAGTTTATCTTTGTTGATTTACTCCACTGGTGTCAACCCAACCCCTTGTTTCTGGATCCTGGTTGCTTAGCTGACACATGAACCATAATATAAGTGATAGCTGAGGCACCCCCTCCCAAGTTCAACTGTATTCTAACTAAGATTTTTGGAAAATAAACTTCAAGACTTTAAGAAGTTAAGATTACTGTGGAGTAAGAACAAATCATATTGCTGATGTCAGGCTGGGAGGCTTATTCCACCACAGTCTGAAACCATAATTTTCATGAAGAACCACAGAATATACATAAGAGAAGAGTGCCTGGTATTAACCAAGGAAGATTTCATCATTTGACCAGTGGGGGAATGGGGCCTGGAGAGGGGATACAATTTACTGTGTTCCTAGGACAGTGAGGAGCCCCATTAGGACTAAGTCCCATGTACCCTAACTCCCAGTGTAGGGCTGTTCCTATGCAACTGTACTTAGGCCAGTGGTTACCAAACTTCAACCAGCATTGGAACCATCTGGAGAACTTATTAACTGCCCTCCCCACACCCCTGAATTTCTAATTCATTAGATTTGGTTTGGAGGCCATGCATTTGCATTTTTCACGAGTTCTCCCTTGGTGCAGATGCTTCTGATAAGGCTGTACTCTGAGAGATACTGCTGTGGGTAGTTACCATTTCTGCTTACAAGTTCACTTGATCCTTGAGAGAGGAATAGAAGTTTGGAAGTTTGCTTTATGATTCAGATTTAGCAAAATGTTGTAAGCAGTTTTTTTTGTTTGTTTTTTTGTTTTTTTGTACAGAGCCCAAGTTTCTCCCTGGAGCAGGAATAGAGAGAGGTTTACTTTCTATAGCTCCAAGTTGAGACATAAGGACATATGGAAGACCACATATTTGGAATTATTTTATATCAACCACCTCCATGTGAACTTAAGGACCTATAGGATCCTTATTTTCTGGCATAAAAGGAGGATGTGGAAAAGTACTTATATCTAATACATAAGTACTTCTATTTCCCAGCAGTAGTTCTCAGTGGGCGATGCTTTTGCCGTAGCAGGAACAACCTCAGACACAGGAAAGCTTTCTGCCTTTCAGAGAACATCTCCAGACTCTTCAGATCTGAGAATGTCTGATTGGCTGAGCTATATATGCTCTCTGAGGCTGCTGACAGAGCCAAGACATAGGTAGGAATAAGAGGAAATGAGCAGGAAGTGGCAAGAGAAGCAAGAAAAATGAAAGAAATGGTGAGGAAGTTGGTAAAAGAAAAAGAAAGAGGTTGAAGAGAGAAAGTTCTAGCAAGAGTAAAAGAAATAAGGATGTGTCAATTAACAGGAAGTGAGTACATTTGCGGATTTGGGGGGCAAAAGTTTTGGAGTCTATTCCTAGCACCTTAGGTGTGTTACACCTTAGATGTGTTACCTAACCTGAAGGCAGGAAATGGGACTGGTAAAGGTATCGTTCTTTTGGGGGGCTGGTGTGAAGATGAAGTGAGATTATGTATGCAAAATCCATTCACAAACTATGAAATTCATTATTGAAGATCATTTTAGGTATGTGTGTGTGTGTGTGTGTGTGTGTGTGTGTGTGTAGTATTGTTCAAGCAACTCCCTGAGCTTGCTATAACAGAGAGCTTGCTGTAGACTAGGCTCTGCTCACTGGATGCTCTGTCGTCCTCTAATTAGTTGGCAGGACTCGCATTCCCTTCTAGAACAGGAGACATGGGGAGGGTTTCCTGTGTCCAGGAAACCCCAACACACATGGATACTAAATCAAGTTGCCTCTCCTAGTTGTATGTTGTCCACTTTACAACTGGACATATACTAGAAAGATTTAAGAAGTCACTGATGCCTCAGGAAGCTGCACTCCCTTCTCCTGACTCTTTCTTTGTCTCTTCGACCATCTATTAAGCTCCTCCCTCTACCATTTCACGGCTCTTCTCAACTAACCTGAACAGTTGAAACCAGATTCAATCTTACCTTTTTCATCTTGATTTCTGCTTTAATTTTAATTACCTTCTCCTGTGCATCATTTCAAAAGGATTTGCTATGCCAGAGACTCTCTAAATAAATGAGGTTCCAAATTAGTTGTTATGTAATTAGACAAAAATTCAGTTATTACTGAACCTTAGATAAAAATAAGCTTTGAGCACCAATAGTTTAAAAGTCTGCTGCTGTGTCATTTGCATTTAAATAACACCTTAAAAAGATTTAACTTGAATTATATTACAATAGCTGGACTGTAAAAACTTTTTGTTAAGGAGAACGAGATGACTCGAAAATATGTTGTATGTCTGTTTTTTATGTTATTAAAAAATCAGTCCTTGGTATTTATCATCAATCTCACACTGGTAAGATTAAAGATCATTATCGCTGACACTGATTAGGTGGTAATTTCTTAACATTTAGAAAAAAAGGCCATGATGCACTGACTGAAAATCTTTAGTACCTAGTTTATTTTCAGTTTCCCTTGTCATAATGAGTGCCTTTATAAGCAAGATTTTTCCAAAAGGTAAGAGCAATTACACTTTTATAATTTTAAAAGTAGCATGTTATTCATCGTTCATATAATTTAAAATTTTAATCAATATCTGTAGCGATGCTACATTTCAGTTCAAATAACATGATATATATTCCCTGGCATTTTGAATTCAGATGCTCCTGATGACTGCCATAGTTTTCATCTTTGTTATAATTATACACACAAGTTTTCCTTGACCATTATTGTATGCCACATGTTGTCAAAGATCCATGTTGTACAGAGGAGGACTTAGTGCTGACTGGTTATTAGGCCTGACAAAGATATTTCATTTCAATGTTTTAATAATTGGATCATTTCCCCTTCATTTTCACCTAAAGATGTCACTGCTTAGGGGCCTTTTTTTTTTTTTTTTTTTTTGCAAACTCAAAAATTCTGCAAATAGCCATGCAATGTGGTCTAAATTCTGTGAGACCACTGGGTTACTCATCAGCTAAAAACATACGTGTTCATGTCACCTGGAACCTTTACCTCTCACCTCTCTCCTCCTCCACAACCTGGTTTCTCCAAGCCCATGCTTCCCACATCAACACCATTTTCTATGTTTTGTCTATGCTCGCACTTATAAAATTTCATCTGCTACTCCCTATCTCCTTTATTCATTCATTCATCACTGGTACATTATTTTTTAATTCACTCAATAAATATTTGTTGAGCTCCAATCATGATCCAGATATTGTTATAAGCATTAAGAATATAGCTATATTGTTATAAGCATTAAGAATATAGCTGGTCAAGATGGTGGCTTAGGTAAACATGGCTCACCTCCTAGCACAACCACCTCAAAATAACAACTAAAATAGAGAACAACCATCACTCAGGACTGTCAGAAATTAAGTAGAATGGATGTCTGACAACTAGGGATTTAAAGAAACTACATCCATCCAGACTGGCATGAGGAGCTGAGATGTAGAATGGACTGGTTCGATGCCCACATGTGGTGGATAAAAATTCAGGAGGGATATCTCAGGAGCAAGGAGTCCCGGCCCTACATTAGGCTCCTCAGCCCAAGGTTCAGTGCCAAGAAAATTAAGTCCTTATGGCTACGAAAACCAATGGAGATTGAGTCACTGGAAGAAACTTCTGGAATTCCAAGCAGTTTCCCTTAGAGACCCTACAAATGGACTTACTCAGACTCACTAGCTCTGAATTCCAGCACCTGGTTAGCAGCTTGAAAGGCACCAGTGGCATATAAGTAGGAACTGAAGTTTCTGGCATCAAAGTGGGATTTGGGAGACAGCCTTATCCCAAACAGAAAGGTGGGCAGAGGCCATTGCTCCTTTTCTAAGTCTTTCCCCAACAGAGCCACAGAGCCAGCAGGTGGCTGCCATATCTGAGATTTCATCAACCTGGCTAACACTCTTTGCCCCACCTTGGAGATCCCCTGAGACTCCATCCCACTCAATTTACAGGCCCACCC